AATGCCCCTTATTAAACACATATTTTCGACAACGACCTCTAACTTAAGATTCACGCCTCATTTCATATTGTTGGCTCTAGATATTCCACGTAATAATTCTATGCATGAAATCCCTATTAATCCCAATGTTCCCCTACACTAGTTCAATCAACTCCAAAATCTCCCAAATGAAGTTTTATGGGTATATGAATTCATGATTTTGCAGGTTTACATCAGCTATGCTCGACTTTTCTCCTAGTACAAACCAAGTCATTAACTTACAATGCAAAACACGAATATTGTGCTCAATAAAGATCAAGTTTCACATAGACAAGCATCAATCAACTCAATATATAAATTTTCCACGATCCGTATTTTAATACATAGTTTCAATGTATACATCATTGCCGAAAATGCCATCCAACCCACACAAACACACAAAATCATTAAAAACAAAATTTTATTATTATTATTTATTTTTTTTAAAAACGCGACAATCACGCAAAAAGTGATAAATTACATACAATCAATGAAGACAAAACCATCCCCAATCATAGCATGTGCATTGTCCTCAATGTATCAAAACATGATAATGAAATGCAAAAATAAGGACAAAGGAAGGGACTGAAAGCTTCCTTGATCAGTCGGACGGTGGAGGTGGAGGTAAGTGGGCCAAAATCTCCCTCATCAATGCGGACTACTGACTCATCTCGTCATGCATGCCGTGAACCATGTCATATGTTTGATCAGCTCAGAACTACAAGCCTTCTATAATCCTTGTATATTCATCCAGTCGCCCAATAAACCTATCAGTGCATCGGCCCAAGTCGAAAACATTCTATTGGGTCCTGTTGGTGCTGGCTTGTATGATCTAGATGCTAGTCTACATATCTCGCACCTGTAAATCCAAGGTTGTAAAGGCTTGCTGCATCTGCTGAACATCCCGACCTTGCCCAATCATCGTTGCAAACATTTAAAGGAGCATATATGTGTTTACCAGTGGCTCATGCGGTGGATTGGAATGAATGCCATCATCGTCCCCATGGCCCTCGTCATCCCTGTCTATGACGCTCAACTTTCATCTACGAGGTTTTGGCGAGTAAATGTTAATAGGAACAGTATGACGCATATCCTGCTCAGTTGGTAGGAGCCACACCCGTAAGCTCTGCATATCCCATAGATGAGGCCAAAAAATATGAACGTATGCCATGTGTCTTCCTCTATAGCTCGGGCACATATGAAATTATAAATATGAGTGCTAGAATCAAGTTTCAGCCCATAGCCAGATGATAGAATAAAGATGCTCTCGCGTGATCGAACTTGGACCGATGCTTGGAAGGGTTGACATTATGGCATATAAACATCATTAAAAAAAAAAAATTGTTTTTGGGCTGGCGTAGGGCTGGGCTATAGCCTACCCCTCCCTCCACCCCTGCCGTGAACCATGTCATATGTTTGATCAGCTTAGAACTACAAGCCTTCCATAATCCTTGTATATTGATCCAGTCGCCCAATGAGCCTATCAGTGCATCGGCCCAAGTCGAAAACATTCTACTGGGTCCTGTTGGTGCTGGCTTGTATGATCTAGATGCTAGTCTACATATCTCGCACCTGTAAATCCAAGGTTGTAAAGGCTTGCTGCATATGCTGAACATCCCGATCGAGCCCAATCATCGTTGCAAACATTTAAAGGAGCATATATGTGTTTACCAGTGGCTCATGCGGTGGATTGGAATGAATGCCATCATCATCCCCATGGCCCTCGTCATCCCTGTCTATAATGCTCAACTTTCATCCACGAGGTTTTGGCGAGTAAATGTTAATAGGGACAGTATGACGCATATCCTGCTCAGTTGGTAGGAGCCGTACCCGTAAGCTCTGCATATCCCATAGACGAGGCCAAAAAATATGAACGTGTGCTGTGTGTCTTCCTCTATAGCTTGGGCACATATGAAATTATAAATATGAGTGCTAGAATCAAGTTTCAGCCCATAGCCAGATGATAGAATAAAGATGCTCTCGCGTGATCGAACTTGGACCGATGCTTGGAAGGGTTGACATTATGGCATATAAACATCATTAAAACCAAAAGGGGTTCGATCAAATTGTTGTATAAGAAATCAAGATGACGAAGCGGACAAGCATCTGCTCTCCCATATAGAATTTTTGCTAACTCTGGCCAATTCTGCTTTAGTGGTATCGGGGTAATGCCCTCTTTGGTCAACTCGAGGTAGTCATCAATGACATCAGGCGTGAACATAAACCATTTCTCCCTCACCCAAGTCTCGTGTTCATGATCTAAACTAGGCTCATCTATGGAGAAGTTGAAATTTGTGTAAAACTCCTAGACAAGTGTAGGATAAATGACAAATGACTTTGCCACGACCTTTTCTCTACCTTGCACGGTGAACTAATGTCTCTATCTCAAGCCCCGGAAAATCCTCCATTATCATCGCCAGTCTAGCAAAAAGTCCATTTGATGACCACTTGCTCAAATCAACATCTGTGCTTTGGGCTAAGGAACTGTCTCAAGCCACCATCATCGACATGAGAAAGTCTCGGGGTGGAGGAAGAAGATGCATTGTCTTTCTCTTTGGAAGTGAAGGGGTTGTTGCGTACGCGTTTGGGAGGCATACCTTGAATTCTTGGAAATTAGATGGAATGAAGTTGTAAATCCCTGGTGTGTGATGTAGTAGTTGGTGGAATTGTGAAGTCTCGAATGGAGGATGCCAAAACTATGATGGGGGACTTGTGGGTGTTGAAGGGGATATTAGTCCATTCGTGTTTGGTAGGTGGAAGCGTGGTGTGTGTGAGGTGAAAATAACTGGCTGAGGGTTTTAAAACTGATAGCATGTTAACATGCGTACAATGTACACATGCCTCCAATCACACGTATGCATGGTTGGAGCAGGTTGGCCTCAATTGGCCAACTTGCCAACCGTGCGTGAGCATGAACCATGCTCATGCATGGTTCACCAGCAGGTTCAAATTTTATTTATTTAATTATTTTGAAATTTAATGCTCTTCGACGACCCCAACTAGATTTTCGTGCCTAACATATTTTAGAAAGTGTAGAAAGAATGTGGAGCTTTCCTTTGAAACCTAATGCCAATCTTGAAAAGCTCTTTTTGGTTTAGCTTAGCCCAAGCACCTCGTTTTTCACTCAATTATGCTCAATAAGTGTGAAAGTGGTGTGGAACCAACTAACTTTATAAAACTCACTCTTTTCCCCTACAAACACACATTTGAACTTCTAATGTCCTAAATACCTCATTTTCACCTTGATATTTGTGATTTTCCCTCCAACACATGCAAGTGAGATTTGAACACCCCGAACTTACGCAAAACAAATTTGAACTTGCATTGACTCAAACTATCTGAGTGATGGGCAGATGACGCCTAATCTATTTTAATACACAAAAGCAATAAAAATTCTAGTATAATGCATCAAACTTGAATAAATAAAAGGAAAGAGAATTGAGTTGCCTCCCAATAAGCGTTTGTTTATCGTCTATAGGTCAACTTTGTTGCTCGGGCATGCATTATTAAGTAGCACGATTGTCTTCACATTGGAGTAGTCATCTCCCCAAAGAGCTTTCGGTCGTTGTTCATTTAATTTGAATCACCTTGCTAATCCTGAACACCACATCCACGACATTGTGTGGAAACACGACTGCCACTGTGAAGGGACGCAACATCCAGGCACCATGTATTTGATGCAATTGAGCCCTCTTTTTGCCTTTTCATCAATTGTTACCTACAAACAATATATAATATAACTAATCCTCGTTTAGTACAATTCATCAACAAATAATAAAATTTAATGGTCTAAATAAGTGTATAAAATATACTCATCAAATGTTATGGCATGCTTAACACATGCAAATTATGTCTAATGTGTTTCAATGTATAAGATAATTCTTCTCCCCTTTAAGAGAGAGAGATTATACTGGTAGAACACATTAAAAAATTAGTCGAACTTGTATTTTTATCTATTTCTAGAAGAATGGTTACTGTCCCGAACTTTTAAGTGTTGACCATATTTTCATACGCATATTTAATTCTTCAATTTCTTCATTAAAATTTGGCAAAAATTTATATAATCTTACAATTAGTACATTTTGATCTATTAGTCAGAGTTGAACGTGCATTGCACGTTATTCTAAAATATTTTATAGATGCTGTAAAAATAATATTTAATACGAATTTATTGAGAGAATTTGATAAGTCTCAAACGAACTAAATAAATTAAAATTTAGGATAGAAATTTAAAAGAAAAAAATTGTACTCTCGAAACTCAACTTTTATGATTCAAATTTTTTGAAATGATGAAATACTACAAATGGACAACATTTGTATACTAAATTTGGTACATAAGAATTAATTGTTAATACATGAATTTAAAGATCTATTAAAATTCTCAGATATGTGAATATAAATATATTCATTTTTAATAACTCTAAATTCATGTAGATCAAGATTCATTAAGTCAAAATCCATTGAGTTTAGATTAACGTGAATGTTAATTAATTGAGAATTAACAAAATGAAATTTATACATGACAATGATTTTTGTAGTATTTAGTACATAACGAAAAACGAAAAATAATGCATTATTGAAATAATTGAATTGTAATAGGATTAAAATCCTCCAAAAAATGATTCTTGAGACTTTACCCTTGTTTGAGTCCCATTTTTTTTTCCATAAAAATGTATTATTGAACAGTGATTTGACTTCATTTCAACTACAAATTTTTAAATAAAATAATATTACACGAAAATTCAAAACTTTTCTTTTATTTTTTAAAGGTAATTGGCGAAAAACGTCCCTACCTTTGGAGACTTCTGTGAAAAACGTCCATACCTTTGATTTTTTTTGCACTTTTTTAAAATGTGCAAATAACCCATCATTCACCTCCTTCTTTTCTTTTCTTTAATTCATTTCCTTTTCCCCCTTCTTTCAGATTGGCATACTTTGATAAATAATACATCTCTTCTCTATCTAGTAAAATCCGTGTATATATGTTTGTAGGTATTCCAAGAACCACAGAATTTGATTGTGCCATAGTCCTTGCCCGCTACATCACCTTCACATTCCCTAACCCTCTTTCCCAGGACCACCACTCCGCGTCGCAGTTCTCGACTCTCCATCTTCATCTACCGCCAGAATCGCCGCCATGTGAGTACCCATACCACTCGATCTTGAATCCGACTGGATTTTCTCCACTTTCTCCGACCATCTCCAGCTTCTCCTCTCCTCCACCACACCCCCACCACCTCCTCCGCTTAATCCTCATTGGAAATCCTCCGACTCACTCCACCCCACCTCGTATTTTTCCACACCCTTTATTACTAGTTCTAACTCCGAAATCAGCTTTCTATCAGAAGGGTATTTGTAATAGCGAATTCCTTGAAAATCCATTCTTGATTTATGGAGACGAGGTGAGAAAATGCAAAATTTTGGAAATTTGTGAAGGGCCTTATGCTGGTGAAATGCTAATAAAAAATGTTGTGGTGGAAACTACCACTAAAGAGTTTAGGAGGAGATTGAGATTTAAGAGAATGCCAAATTTAGTGCAAACGCATATGAGAATTCTCCCAAAAAATGAATTAAATTATGGAAAATTGGATAACTTGGAGTTTGTAATAGATAATAGTGTTCTGGTCCTTCTGGTTCATCCATATTTGAGTCACATGGTGGTGTGCCAATCTAAAAGAAGTGGGAATAGGGAGTTAATTGTTTCAACGCTCACCGAACTTTAGGTAGTGTCACGTTTTACTCACTGTACTTTAACTTGCACCATATCACTCACCGAACTTTGCACCGTTGCACTCCATTGCTCACCATGTTCCTCCCGTCACTAACGGCTGCACACGTGGATGACGGAATTGACACGTGGCCGTTAAATTCCACATCATAGTGTAATTCTCACCAAATATGAAAAAATTGAAGCTGTAGATTCATCTCTCCCATCCCATTCATTCCTTCAATCTCCCCA